TTGTGAAACAAACCAAAACAGTAGGAGGTATAGGACTACACAAGTCACCCCTCTGCTAAGCTTGCTTTTAGCAAAACTCTCCTCCCAACTTACGAAAGAAAACAGCTTTATCCTGATAAAATTCATAAACCACTTAGTTCACCCATTTAAAGCATTCAGTTCAGTTGGTTTTAGTGTGTTCCCAAGGTTGTATGATCACGACCACAATCTAAGTTTAGAACAGATGCCTCTCTCTCTATTTTTTTTTTTAGATTTTATTTATTTATTCATAGAGACACAGAGAGAGAGAGAAAGGCAGTGACACAGGCAGAGGGAGAAGCAGGCTCCATGCAGGGAGCCCGACGTGGGACTCGATCCCGGGACTCCAGGATCGCGCCCTGGGCCAAAGGCAGGCGCTAAACCGCTGCGCCACCCAGGGATCCCCTGCCTCTCTCTCTCTCTCTAAAAGAAGTCCCATCCCCATTAGTAGTCACTCCCAATGTCCCTCTCACCCCCCAGTCCTGCCCAGCCCTAGGCAACCACTAATCTATTCTCTGTCTCTGTGGATATGCCTATTCGGGACATTTCATAAAAATGGACTCATACACTACGTGGCCTTTTGTGTCTGGCTTCTTTTGCTCAGCATGTCATGTTCCCAAGGTTCATCCAGGCTGTTGACCGGTAGTGTGCATCAGAGCTCCATTCCTTTTCATAGTCAACCCCCCACTACCCTCCTTCAATCCATTTTAGATATATCTAAAAAGGGTTCAACACTTAGCATCACCAGAACGAGTTTGCACTTGTAGAGGCAGAGACTAAATGCTTTTTAAATTTTTCTATCTCTGTTTCTGTCTTATTCATTATGTCTCACATTTCCTCTTGCCTTTTCTTACCGCTTTTTAACTTTTTTTTTTTAATTTTTATTTATTTATGATAGTCACAGAGAGACAGAGAGAGAGAGAGAGAGAGGCAGAGAGACAGGCAGAGGGAGAAGCAGGCTCCATGCACCGGGAGCCCGACGTGGGATTCGATCCTGGGTCTCCAGGATCGCGCCCTGGGCCAAAGGCAGGCACTAAACCGCTGCACCACCCAGGGATCCCGACCGCTTTTTAACTTAAAAAAAATTTTTTTTTTCTAGATTTTATTTTTAAGTAATCTTTACACTCAGTGTGAGGCACTTACTTACAACCCTGAGATCAAGAGTCCCACACTCCCTTGGGGTATCTGGGTAGCTCATTTGATTAAGCATGTGACTTGATTTTGGCTCAGGTCATGATCTCAGGGTCATGGGATCCAGCCCCACAACTGGCTCCAAGCTCAGCAGAGAGTCTGCTTGAGATCCTTTCTCTCCTCCCTCTGCCCCACCACCCCTAAACATGCATACTCTCTCTTTCTAAAATAAATCTTTAAAAAAATAAATTTTACCTGTTTATTTGACAGAGAGAGAGAAGGCACAAACAGGGGGAGGGGCAGAGGGAGAGGGAGAAGCAGGTTCCCCACGGAGCAAGGAAGCCAACACAGGACTCCATCCCAGGGCCCTAAGATCATGACCTGAGCTGAAAGGCAGATGCTCAACCAGAAGCCCCTAAATAAATAAATCTTTTTTTTTTTTTAAGATTTTATTTATTTATTCATGAGAGACAGAGAGAGAGGCAGAGACACAGGCTGAGGGAGAAGCAGGCTCCACGCAGGGAGCCCGATTTGGGACTCCATCCCAGGACTCCAGGATCATGCCCTGGGCCAAAGGCAGGCGCTAAACCGCTGAGCCATCAGGGATTCCAATAAATCTTTTTTAAAAAAGGAGAAAAGGGTTGTATGCTTCAGCAATTGAGCCCTCCAGGCATCCCTTACATTTTCTTTATCTTTTAAAGGATAATATTTGAAAATTTTTAGGAGAATAAATATATTGCATATACATTATAAACCATAGTAATATGGGATCCCTGGGTGGCTCAGTGGTTGGGCATCTGCCTTCAGCTCAGGGCGTGATCCTGGGGGACTGGGATCGAGTCCCGCATCAGGCTCCCTGCACGGAGCCTGCTTCTCTTCCCTCTGCCTGTGTCTCTGCCTCTGTGTGTGTGTGTGTGTGTGTGTCTTGTGGATAAATAAAATCTTTAAAAAAATTAAAAAATAAAACATAGTAATATAATGAGTAGGAGCTGGGGGTGGCTCATTCATTTTAGCATCACACTCTTGATCTCAGCTCAGGTGTTGATCTTAGGGTTATAATTTCAAGATCTTTTAAAAAGAGAAAGAAATACCTGTTGGATGAGGTTCTGGCGTCCTCACCAAACTTCTCAGCTTCCCTCTCAAGCAATTCCCAATTCCCCCCCCCCCAATTTTTAATAGTCACATAGTATTCACAATATTTACATTTTGTTCTGTGACTATAGTTTTTTTGAAGATTTTATTTGTTTGTTCATAAGAGGCACAGAGAGAGAGGCAGAGACACAGGCAGAGGGAGAAGCAGGCTCCATGCAGGGAGCCCAATGTGGGACTTAATCCCGGGTCTCTAGGATCAGGCCCTGGACTGAAGGCGGCGCTAAACCGCTGAGCCATCCAGGTGTCCCATGTTCTGTGACCATAATTAAGTCTTCTGTGCTTTGTCTGGAAGTTGAATCTAAAAACTGAAAAGCAATATGCAACATCATGATTCTGCAAGCATCAGTCAGTGAGAACCCTGGCTCTCACGAGCATGAAATGTGAACCTGGTCAGTGACATGATTTCCAATCTCAAGAAGCTCAAAGTCATAGTTTTTAGAGGCAGAAGCAAGAACTTCCGGGCCAACTGAGTCATTTTACAGAATGGATTTTGTTGGCAGAGGCTGGAGGGTGAGCTTTGTCTCAAGTGAAGGGAGGAGGAGGAGGGGCTTTCGGTCTCCATCTTGCATCTTGGTGAATGGTGGCCTTGGCTCTGGGGGCAGGGGTGGGGCCTTCTCTGCTCTTGGGAGACAGGAACCCCATGGGGTGGGGTGGGGTAGCCAGACTGTGATTCTGGCACCTTATCTGTGATTCTTGAGGAGATGCCAGGTATAAAGATACCTGTGCAAACAGAGGGCACCCGGCCAGCCCCGGAGCTCCCCCTCTTTCCGCAGGCCTAGGAGAGAAGGAGAGGCTGGAGGTGGCCTGCCACCCATGGCCTGTACTCTGGAAAAACCCTGAGCACCATGAAGTGTGGAAATAATATTAGTTAATGTTCATTTAGCACTTCCCGTGTGCCACGTTCATTTAGATTCTTTTACCTGTTTCTCACAGCTACCCAACAAGGTAGGTGTTATCCTTGTTGATACAGATGAGGACATTGAGGACCAAAGGGAGTTTAAGTGACTCATTCAAAGGCCTACCACTAGCCGGTGGAAGAGCAGGATTCAGATTCAGGCAGTGAGCACCCACGTCCATGCTGGGGACCATTTTGCCATAGTGCTCTTGGAACTGGAGCACCAGCCTCAAGCCCACCTCTGCTATGACCAGGCTTCTGAGCCTCACTCACCTCCTCTGGAAAATGGGGATGGTACGTTCTGTTCTGTAGGCAGGTTGGAGAACCACAGGCACCCCACACCCCCTTGGGCCTGCCGCTCTAGCTTCAGCTCTCATCATTCCCCCCTCCACCCCTTGATGAAGCTCCAGCATGGCTGAACAGTCAACAGCATGACCTATGCTCTTACCACCTTCTCTGGGTTACCCTGGGGTCTGGAATTTCAGGTGAACCCAGCGAGATCATTTCTCGCTAAATTAAGCAAGGTTTGCCTCTCAGTTCAAATGGTAACGATAAATAAAGGCCTGCCCTGGCCTTAGCAGTATAGCATGGGGATTAAGAGGCTTTGGAGACCGGTGGTCCTGGATTCAAATTCCAGTTCTATTACCTTTACTGTGTAACCCTGGACAAATCTTGTTACTACTGTGGGCCTCTGCTTCCAAATGGGTAAAATGGACGTAGTGATAGTACTCAGAGGAATATATGAGGACCAACGAGAGAAAGTGTATAAGGCACGATGAGCTCCAAAACATGGTAGCTATCTTTTTTAAAATCATACTATATATTGCAATTACATTGAGCACAATTCCTGGTTCATGGTTAGCGTTCAATACATAAATGGATAAATGTTTACCTGTCTGCATCCCTCATTACCTATGAGTTTCTTTTTTTTTTTAAAGATTTTATTCATTTATTCATGAGAGACACAGAGAGAGAGAGAGAGAGAGAGAGAGAGAGAGAGAGAGAGAGGCAGGGACACAGGCAGAGAGAGAAGCAGGCTCCATGCAGGGAGCCTGACGCAGGACTCGATCCCGGGTCTCCAGGATCACACCCTGGGTGGAAGACAGATGCCAAACCGCTGAGCTACCCAGGGATCCCTGCCTATGAGCTTCTTAAGGGCAGGAAATATTTCTTTAAAACTTTGTTTACTGGGGCACCTGGGTTGGCTCAGTCGGTCTGTCGTCTGCCTTCAGCTCAGGCCATGATGGAGCCCTGTGTCCAGCTCTCCGTTCAGCAGGGAGACTGCTTCTCCCCCTCCCTCTCCCTCCGTTCCTCTGCCAGCTTGTGTGTGTTCTGTCTCTCCCTCTCTAGTAAATAAATAAAATATTTAAAAAATAATAAAAACAAATAAATAAAAATAAAACTTTGATTATTATTTTTTTCTCAGTTCAACTTAATAGAAACAATGAAAGATTGAAAGTGGAGCCCCACTGGACACCTCAGTTGGCCTGCGCCATAGCACAGTTCAGGCCATTCTCTCCAGGGGAAGAAAGGTTGGCCTCCCCAGCCCCTGCTGGAAAGGCCTGTCCTGTCCCATACCACATCTGCGCTGAGTCTGAAGCCTTGTGTTTTAAGCATGACAGCAGTAGCAAGGAGATTTTGTTTTCACGGCCACCCACTGCAGCCCAGCCCGAAAATGGCCCAGTACTCGCTTCTGCTAAGAGAAATATTTTTTGCTCTTCTGGACACGAGGCTTGATGGTATCACTGCCAGGCTTCCAGCCAGGTGGGTGCACTTCCTCATGTTCCTCAGTGAACTGGGAAGCCTAAACTAGCCTCAGCATCTCATCCACAGACCAGCTGACAGGAAGGTCATTCACGGTGATCTGCCAAAGGATATTTTTCTCATCAACAATAAAGAGGCCCCTGAACGAGATGCCTTCATCAGCCTTTAAAATTCCATAGTCCTAAAAAAGAGAGAGAGAGAGAGAGAGAGAGAGAGAGAGAGAAGACCATAATTCTGAGCGATGCTACACCTGGAGGCTGACACCAAGGGAATGTTCATGGGTCCCAGTCCTTCTTCTTTCTTGGGTGTGTTGATCCATGCCAAGTGATAGAAATGAGAATCCACAGAAGCACCAATCACTTGGTGAGCTTCTTCTTCTTCTTCTTTTTTTTTTAAAGACTTTATTCATTTATTCACGAGAGATACAGAGAAAGAGAAAGAGAGAGAGGGATCCCTGGGTGGCGCAGCGGTTTAGCGCCTGCCTTTGGCCCAGGGCACCATCCTGGGGACCCAGGATCGAGTCCCACGTCAGGCTCCCTGCATGGAGCCTGCTTCTCCCTCTGCCTGTGTCTCTGCCTCTCTCTCTCTCTCTCTCTCTCTCTCACTGTGTGCCTATCATAAATAAAATAAAATAAAATAAAATAAAATAAAATAAAATAAAATAAAAAAGTAAAATATTAAAAAAAAAAGAGAGAGAGAGAGAAAGAGACGCAGAGACACAGGCAGAGGGAGAAGCAGGCTCCCTGCCAGGAACCAGATGCGGGACTTGATCCTGAATTCCGGGATCATGCCCTGGGCCAAAGGCAGACACTCAACTGCTGAGCCACCCAGGTGCCCCGACTTGGTGAGTTTCTTAAATTCTTCTGTCCTGAGCTTGAAAGCAATGGTCTCTGTGGGACACACAAAGGTGAAATCAAGAGGGTAAAAAAAGAACACAATGTGTTTGCCTTTGTAGTCAGGTGGTGTGATGTCTTTGAACTGGCCACTTGGCATAATAGCCACAGTGTGGCTTTGAAGGTGGGGACAGGGGCACCTGGGTGGCTCAGCAGTTGAGGTTTGAGTGTCTGTCTTTGGCTCAGGTTGTGATCCCGGGGTCCTGGGATTGAGTCCCACATCGGGCTCCCTGCTTGGAGCCTGCTTCTCCCTCTGCCTCTGTCTCTGCCTCTCTCTCTCTGTGTCCCTCATGAATAATAAATAATAACCTTAAAAGTTGGGGACAGGATGCCCAATTTTGGCATTTCCTGAGTACATCTTGCTCTGGACATCTCTGAGACAGAACACACACCAAAGACCCTCAGGAGGGATCCCTGGGTGGCTCAGCGGTTTAGTGCCTGCCTTTGGTTCGGGGCGTGATCCTGGAGTCCCAGGATCGAGTCCCATGTCGGGCTCCCCGCATGGAGCCTGCTTCTCCCTCTGCCTGTGTCTCTGCTTCTCTGCTTCTCTCTCTGTCTCTCATGAATAAATAAGTAAAATATCTTTTAAAAAAATAACACCAAAGACCCTCAGGAAGAAGGTGCTTTATTTATTTATTAATTAATTATTTATTTATTATTTATTTATTTTTTTTTATTTGCTTTATTTATTTTATTTTTTAAAGATTTTATTCTTTTTTTTTAAGATTTTTATTTATTTATTTACGAGAGACACAGAGAGGGAGAGAGAGAGGCAGAGACACAGGCAGGGGGAGAAGCAGGCTCCATGCAGGGAGCCTGATGCGGGACTCGATCCCGGGTCTCCAGGATCATGCCCTGGGCTGCAGGCGGCGCTAAACCGCTGAGCCACTGGGGCTGCCCTGCCTTATTTATTTTAAATAAATTCTACACCACATATGGGGCTTGAACTCGCAACCCTGAGATCAAGAGTTGCATGCCCTGCTGACTGAGCCAGCTAGGAGCCCATAGGGCAGGAAACATACTTTATTTTTGTGTCCACAGTGCTGAGCATAGCACCTAGCACATGGGAGTGCTTAATAAATATTTGTTGTTTGCCCTAAAGAGCTCATGGATCTGGTCAGCTGTCACATATGGTGCTAAAATGACAAAGTACGGGATCCCTGGGTGGCGCAGTGGCTTAGCGCCTGCCTTTGGCCCAGGGCGCAATCCTGGCGACCCGGGATCGAATCCCACGTTGGGCTCCCAGTGCATGGAGCCTGCTTCTCCCTCTGCCTGTGTCTCTGCCCCTCTCTCTCTCATTCTATGTGACTATCATAAATAAATAAAAATTTAAAAAATTAAAAATAAAATAAAATAAAATAAAATGACAAAGTAAAGGCTGATAGAGAAGTTGATAATGGGGAATCAGCTGACTAACTGAATCTTAGTATTCTCTCTCTCTCTCTTTTTTTTTTAAGATTTTTTTTTTTTTTGACAGAGAGAGAGCACAAGTGGGGGGGGGCAGCAGCAGAGTGAGAGGGAGAAGCAGACTCCTCCCTGAGCAGGGAGCCCGGATGCAGGGCTTGATCCTAGGATGCTGGGATCATTATTCTTGCTTCCTGATATGACATTATGGGAAGTATTCAGTACTTTACATGACATATTTTTTTTTACACGACATATTTTTGTCTAAAAAACTGAACCTGAATCAAATCAAGCCTCTAGATGTGAGGACCATATAGGATAGAGGGATGTGTTACATGACACTTGTGAGGATGCATTCAACCAAATACAAAACATAAGACATCCAACAAGACAGGGGCGTCTGGGTGGCTCAGTTGGTTAGGCGTCTGCCTTTGGCTCAAGTCATGATCCCAGGGTCCTGGTATCGAGTCCTGCTTGGGCTCTCTGCTTAGCAGGGAGCCTGCTTCTCCTTCTCCCTCTGCCTGCAGCTTCCCCTGCTTGTGCCACTTTAATGGTGGATACATTTCATTATACATTTGTTCAAACCCTGAGGATTTTAATGTAGACTTTGGGTGATGATGAAGTGTCAGGAAGGTTTACCAATTGTAACAAATGTACCACTCTAGTGGGGGGATGATGCGGGGGGGTGGGGGCTATGGACGTGTAGGGGGCAAAGGGTATTTGGGAAATCTCTGTACCTTCCTCTCAAATCTGCTGTGAACATAAAACTGCTCTAAAAAATAGTCTTAATTTAAAAAAAATGCAGGGGTGAAGAGACAATATTTAGCACAATTACAGTTGACAAATTACAAAAATTGCAAAAAATAATTATTGGAGCTAGATGATAGCTACGTGGTGTTTAATTCTACTCTACATGGTATGCAGTATACTATTTTCTTTTGTGTTTGAAAGAAAAATGTTTTCTGCAGACGTGAGTGGTTGAGCTCCAAGGGGCGGCACCCCTCTTAGTTACAGTTACCGTTATTTTCACAGGCAGCTGAAGCTGGGCATCCAGCTCCCTCCCCTGGGTGCTGGCGGGCAGCCCCGGGCAGAGGTTTCAGGAGCCCCCTGGAGCAGCTCGTACAGAGCGTGCTCTCCCCACCATGGGGAGCTTGATCGCCTGCAATCCCTAGCAATTTCGATTTCCCTGGGATTCCTCTCCAGCCAGGCGGGGGTTAAGCTCCTCTCAGAGAGGCTTGGGGCCCTCTGAGTACCATCATAACCACCCCTTTACCAGGAGATGAAAGGGAGGGGACTGCCCAGGTTGTTAATCATTAGCCAGCCTCTTTTCTGACCAGTGGCCAGGACACCCAGGCGACCGAAAGTTCATCAGAGGCACACCCTGCAATAAGGAAATCTGCCCTTCTCATCCCAGTGATGGACGCTTGGTTAGCACCAGGGACTAGGGCTGTCATCCACTGGGAGAGGCACCCAAAAGGCCTCTGGTCAACCTTCCTTTTCGCTGTAGATAACCTAAAATTCTACCGTTAACACTGGACTGGCCCCCAGAGACCTCTAATCTCAAGATCTTGATTCTTCTTCCCCTCAGTTGAGAAGCTAATGAATGCAGTGGCTCCTATCTCCTTCACTGACAGGGTTGCATAGAATCTCAGGGGGCACAGGTACCTCCCAGAACCCATCCACAGACACCACCTTAAGAACCCTGGGCAGATGGGATCCCTGGGTGGCGCAGCGGTTTGGCGCCTGCCTTTGGCCCAGGGCGCGATCCTGGAGACCCGGGATCGAATCCCACATCAGGCTCCCGGTGCATGGAGCCTGCTTTTCCCTCTGCCTGTGTCTCTGCCTCTCTCTCTCTCTCTCTGTGACTATCATAAATAAATAAAAATTAAAAAAAATAAAAATTAAAAAAAAAAAAAGAACCCTGGGCAGAGCTTACCAGATCCAAATGTCTCATTCCTTTGAAAGAAGCCCACCTAGAGCCCTCTTTAAAATGCAAATAACCCCTGTGAAGGTTGAAAAGACTAACAGGCCTGTCCTGTCCCTGCACCAGCCCCCCAGGAGATTGCCTAAGAGATTTTAAGGGTAGGGTGGGGAAAGCAGAGCCTGGGAGTGGGGAGGCTGCATAGGGCTCACAGTTTGGTCTAGAACTGGGAAGGGAATGTATTGAGCCAAGAGTTCTAATAGCTAACTCTATAGAGCGCTTACAAGAATCTTTGAATTAAGTGCTAGCAGCATCCCCATTTTATGGATGAGGAAACTGAGACTGGAAAGGATCAAGTGACATACTCCCCAGCTAGTGGCAGAGGGGAATGTGAAGCCTCCAGCAACTTGAGATCAAAGGCCATCAGCAGTATAGGCCATCAGCTCCTTTGATCCTCACAAAGGGGAATCATCTCTTTAAAAAACAAAAATTATTTATTTAGTCATGAGAGACACAGAGAGAGGCAGAGGGAGGAGAAGCAGGCTTCATGCAGGAGCCCGAAGCAGGACTCGAGAACTCCAGGATCACTTCCTGAGCCGAAGGCAGACGCCCAACCACTGAGCCACCTAGGCATCCCGAAGAATCTTTTCTTTAAAAAAATAGATTTATATACTTATGGGGGGGGGGGGCAGAAGAAGCAGGAGAGAGAGAGTCCCAAGCAGACTGTGCTGAGTGAGGAGATCCATGAGGGGTGTGACCTCACAAACCCTGAGATCATGACCTGAGTTGAAACCAATGGTGGGATGGCCAACAAACTGAGGCACCCAGGTGCCCCTGAGGGAATCTTTTTTTTTTTTTAAGATTGTATTTATTCATGAGAAACAGAGAGAGAGAGAGAGAGAGAGAGAGAGAGAGAGAGAGAGAGAGAGAGGCAGAGACATAAGCAGAGGGAGAAGCAGACTCCATGCAGGGAGCCCGATGTGGGACTTTATCCTGGGACCCCAGGATCATGCCCTGGGCCAAAGGCAGACACTAAACCGCTGAGCCACCCGGGCATCCCTAAGGAAATCTTTTTTGATGGAAGAGGAACTGAGGACCATAGTCATTCAGTGCTTCACCTCCAACCCCTGAGTGTTCCCACCTCACTCTGGACAGTTGAGAGTGGCAGCCCTTCACTAGTGTCCCCTAGAGCTTGAAGGACTTTCTGAGAAATCTGGAGAGAGTGTCATGCCAACCTGTTTTCACTGCCCCTAATTGTTTTCTAAAATCCTTTTTATTGAATTATCAGAGTGTAATGGAAGAGTCGATGAGAGTTGCTTTGGAGTTACAAGGCCAGGCCTTGCTGGGTGGAGAAAAGCAAAGCCCTAAAGGCTCCCTGGGCCGAGCAATGGTATAAAATATGTATTTTTACATAACTGGGAGAAAGAAAATAAACGGACAAGCTGCCCCATGGGGGAAACGCCTCTTTCTGTATTTCCATTATCTTGTTTAATGCACATTCGGTCAGGAGCCTCAGTGGGAAAGGAAATACTGGAGCCCTTTCCCTATGAGCCTCCTAGTGGGTTAAGAGGCAGAGAGAGCCAAAATTTAGAAATCCAAATGGCCTGGGCGTGTACTTAGAAACCCATTAAAACTGAGGGGCCAGGGGTGGCTGCATGGCTTAGTCCGTTAAGCGTCTGCCTTTGGGTCAGGTCATGATCACGGGGTCCTGGAATCCAGTCATGCATCGGGCTCCTCACTTAGTGGGGAGCCTGCTTCCCCCTCTCCCTCTGCTG